TTCCAACGAGAGAAAATAACGATGCATATTTGAAAGTGATTATAAAAAAAGTGAATAGTAGCACGCAGTACTTTTCATTCATAACTCAGATCTGAACTTTAGCTATACCTTTAATAATATACTGTTTTCTGTTCTTAAGATTTTGTTAACTTAACTCGAGATTACATCTCATTGCACACAATCTGCGCCAAGTCTATAAATGCATCAGTCAACTATATAAATAATCCAAGGGCGGATCTAGCTAGTCGGCGAACCGGTGATCGCCACCCCCTCGAAAATAGATACTTTGACAAATACTGAAAACAAGTAGGACAGTATAGGTTTCTCCCCCAAAAAAATAATACTACTTCCCACTTTTTTTTATGAACCACCACCCTCTCATGGAAATCCTGGGTCCGCTCCTGATTAAATAATCATAAATAGAATTCTCCTGTTCAACTCATCGTTATTTTTCACCTTGTTGAATTTGCCATGAATTTTCTTCTCCATCATCATACAATTTATGTAATTCTAAATCATCATTTGTTGGTAATAATTCAGAAAAATCATGCATTGGATAATTATGTATTAATTTACTATCAATAATTCGTACTTCACCCCATTTACGTATACCATGAAAAATATTTAAAACATAATTAATTAATTCGTGCATTAATTGTTGAACTTCATCAATACTTGGATTTAGAACAATCATTGATGATTGTAATTCAACGTTAGTTAATATTAATGGATATTTTCTATTATCATTTCTATTTGCATTTGCATCAATAGTATCAAGAGGATATAATCGAAGTTTTTTTAATCGAGGTTTCATTTGTATTCTAATTAGAAAATATTCAAAAATTATAACGAAAACTTTTTTAAATAATTATACAATGTTGGATTAGCTCGATTTTTAATCATTTCAAATGTATTTTTAGCACATAATGTCAATGCTTCGATAAAACGAGCTTCGAATGAACTAAGAAATTCATTACCTATATGAAAAAAAATAAAAATTGTTTTAAATCATTCATTAATAATTTTATATACATAGTTCATTAAATCTTTCCCATTCATTTGATGGTTGAAGCATAAATTGAGTTGGATTTCTTGATTTTTTTTCTAATGTCGATGAATCTTGAGTAAACATTTGTATCGCTAATTTTTGCATTGTTGATAGTTGCATAATATCTATCATAGAGAAAAATAATTAAATTTTCATGATATTTATATAGAAATATACCAATATCTCCAAGTTTTTGTTCGAATGGTTTTGATTTATAACCAGCTTTATCAAAAAACATTTTAATAACATGTAAAACAGCTGATTCAATTTGCATAGAAAGTGAATTAAGTTTTTCTGCTTTAGAAATAATTTGTTGACGAATATCATCAATAAATTTTTTAAGATCAATTGATTCATTAGAAAATTCAAGAATTTCAAAACGAGATACTTCATTTATTGGTTCTTCTATACGATGAATTATTAATGATGATATTTGATTAAGAAAATCTGACATAAGAGAAATTTCTTCTTCAGCTGGAAGAAATAATTCATCAAGATTTTTTGACAACCAATTAAGACGATTTAAACCAATTGAAAGTGTATTATCTACCTAGACAAATAAGAAAATTGCTCTTTTTGAATATATCTATATAAACACGCTAGTGTAGATTGCCGAACGTCCGCCAATAGGACATTCGTCATTGATGAAAACATAGGAGATTTGTTGGCAAAAGTCCAGGCGCGATTTGGCGTAAGCCTAGTGGATTTTCATCAACTGTGATAACACAATCCCATACCAAGATTCTACTCTATTGCAGCTCATATACTCCTGGAACTTTGATTGATTGAAGTTTACAAGATGTTTTCAAAAACTGAGTCGAAAAAAACGACATCTGATTATTCTTACTTGTGCCATAACTTTTTCTACGAGTTCGTAACTAGCTGGATGTGCTTTCGCCAATAGTATTGAAAGATCTTTTAGTAATTTCTAGAATAATAAATAGTAGCTTCATACGTATTTTTATCTAATCTAAGATATATATGCACACCTTTAGTCTTTCATAATATAATCGAATTCTATCTCTATCTAATAATAATTTATATCCTAAATCTGGCATTGTAATTGAATACCGAGCAAGTAATTCACATTCACGTAAAACAACATCAATAAATGGATCATAATTAATATATAATTGTCGAGTAACATTTTGTCGTATAAGTAATGGATTACACATAACATTAACAACATCAGGTAATGTATTATACCTAACAAAAAGATATATATATATGTATTTAAAGGAGTTTGACCGAATCAAACAAACCAATGCCGATGATATAATAGTTCATAAATTGAAAAACCATTTGCAATCATTATAAAATTATTTGTAATATTTTTCATAGTATGATGATCTTTTAGTTCAACTCGTTTTATAAATTCAACGTAAGGATTTTGAATACGTTTATACATTCGTCGTGCCCATAAAATTCGACCTAAAATATTATTATTAAACAAAAAGTTGAAAATCTATTTGAGTAACCATTCAAGAAAACTAGTCGACAAAGAAATATTGCTGTTCCGTGGGTTATATGTCACGACTATCTCACATCAAGACTATGACTTTGTCTGTATCAGTTTCAGCTAAAGTAGGTGATAGTAGATTTCCACTGATCATTCTATATAATATGTGAACGACTTCTTACCAATAATTGGTGGATGATCTCTTTCAATATTTGGTGTATTTCG